ATTTCTGGAACAAAAATAAATCTCATCCATTTAATCAGTTTATTTTTAGGAAGAATAGATCCACAAAAGATCCTGTATTAAAACTTACAAAACCAGTGGCGAATTATTTCCTTCTCTTATATGTGAACAAAGCTCTTTGTCAATCTGCCAAGCTGTATTGTATTGCAATGTGGGGAGGTACAGCCAAAACTCATATGTATATTGAAATTGGAAAGGACTTAAAAACCATTGTAAAAGTAGCGTCTTTTGTCCTATTTAAAAACCCTCTCGAAACTGCAGGATATTTATTTATGATTTATTTGCACACCGTGTACAAAAAGGCTGACTTAATGCAACAGGGCATTCTCTACCAGTCTACCTCCAGGCTAAGTAGAGAAAATATTATGGGTGCAAAGTGCAAACAGCTAAGTAAATAATATCTATGTCTACATAATACATACCGTATATATATACACAAATATTTAACCGTAAGACAGTTATACTATAAATTTATCATTCACAGATATCGTATCTGAGAGACGATAAGTTGTAGAATCTTTGCCAACGTCTCAACGAAGAAAAGAGATGTGTCCCACGGTACGGACTCAACTTTGTAGTTTGCTAAACGTCAATATTACTCGTTGACCTCTCGGGTGTGCAGTAAATTAGGTCACATTCAACAACTACGGAAATTTAATACATATTATACATATATATTAAATAAGTTATGGGATAAATTGTTATGGGGATATTTCCATTGTTTCCTCATTTGGTAGGGATGCATAAATAATTATAAAAGTATTATGTAAAAAGTAATAAAATATATACTTTAAATAATAAATACAATAAAATATAATTAAATAAATGGATAAAAATATCCCTGGCTATGCCCGGGATGTTAATACAATATCAGTCTTATTCGCAAGAATAGTCTCTTATTATTTTGTTTTCTTATGTTTAAGCATTTACGAAGTTCTCGTCATATAGAAAGATATATAGATATACGTGTTAGAGCCATGCTGCAGCTATATTAGTAGTATAGTTGTAGCACGAATGGGTCGGCTCGACCGGGGAAGAACCACGCTCTCACAGAATACCAACGTAAAATAGCAGCTTAACACTGCTGTGTTTCGTATGGTGAGTATAGAGAACCGGAGACCCTTTTTACTGGATAAGAGGCATTCCATCTTAATCCTCACGAGTGACAACGCACCTGCATTTTGATTCGCAAACGAGGTTAGATGTAAATGTCTATGGGCCACAGCAGCCACTTACCATCAGGTGGCCTGTGTGCTCGTTTGTCACTCGATCCTATAATAAAAAAAAAATAGATTGGTAAAGTCAACAAAAAATATTGTATGCTCTACAAATATAATATCAGGCATATTCGCAAAAATAGTCTTGTCCATGATGATGGCCTGATCCCAGTAGATTCTGGCGCGTTCATTTTCGAGCACTACTTCCGGCGAGTACTTGCAGTAAGGCAATTTTCGATCCACAAGCCCGTACGAGCTCCAGGTGTATGACCCTAGCAACTAAGTTGTGTCTGTGTAATACTCAGCGTAGAAAGCACTGAACAACCGGAGTTGACATCATTTACCTAAGTGACTCACCCGAATGGCGACAAGCTCAAAAGATGTCGATGGTGCCATCCTTTAAGATGTATCTCCGATAATTATTTGTCTAAATAATATAACCCTGTATCACACAGACAGAACATTTTTTTCCTAAGAGGTCACCAAACCGAAGCCTGTTTGTCGAGAAGCGGCTGTGTCTACGAATGTCTCGTATACTCGTAGAGCCTTGAGAGCTAAGAATCTCCAGTGGAGGTTCGGTTGCCACCTACGACGACTCGACCTGGCAACTTATAACGCACGCACCCTGAGGACTGACGAGAAGATCCTGGAGCTGGAAGAAGAGACAGACAAGTTGCGCTGGAATGTCATAGGATTATCCGAAGTCCGAAGAGAGGGGGAGGATACGGTAATCCTCGAATCCGGCAATTTGTTCTATCACCGGGAGGGCGACCATCTGTCCCAAGGAGGTGTTGGATTTATCGTCCACAAGTCTCTCGTTAACAACGTTGTAAAGATTGGGAGTGTGTCGACGAGGGTTGCGTACCTTATACTCAGAATCACCAAACGGTATTCGCTGAAGGTCATACAGGTTTACGCACCAACCTCGGCACACCCCGATGAGGAGGTGGAGGAAATGTATGAGGATATCTCTAGAGCCATGCATTCCTCCAAAACCCACTAAACGGTGTTAATAGGAGACTTCAACGCAAAACTAGGCACAAGAGAGAACGGTGAGCTGAAAGTAGGTATTTTCGGAATAGGGCAACAGAACCCAAGGGGCCAGCAGCTGGCTGACTTCATGGAGAAAGAGGGACTCTTTATGATGAACTCTTTCTTCCAGAAGTGGCCTCACAGGAAGTGGACCTGGTCGAGCCCTGACGGTTCGACAAAAAATGAGATTGACTTCATTATGACAACCAGACGACAACTGTTCAGTGATGTCTCAGTGATTGCGAGGGTGAAAACCGGCAGCGATCACCGAATGGTGAGAGGTACACTGAACCTAAACGTTAAGTTGGAGAGGTCACGACTAATGTCCATCAATCCATCAATGTAAGTCAACGCTCCGTCCCCCTCGTGCTCTAATCCAAAGTCCCGAAACCTTTCAGCTCGAGCAACAAAACCGTTTTCAGTGCCTAAAAGATTGCAATGCAGTAGACGATATGGATGACAAGCTCGTGGAAACTGTCCATGCGATCGGAGCTAAGTTTTGCAAGACCCGCCGCAGAAGAACACAAAAACTCTCCGATCACACTCTTAATCTCATGGCTGTTAGACGGGATATAACGCTGCAGTCTTCAGTAGATTTGACAGTATACAGGAAACTGAACAGACAGATCTCCAAATGCATGCGGCAGGACTTACGTAACTTTAATACTGCTCGTATTAAAGTAGCGATCGAGAGGAACCAGGGCTCCAAAGTCTTTGCTAGAGATCTATCTGCCAGAAAGAGCCAACTGTCGAAGCTGAAGACTGAGTGTGGCAGCGTCGTTTCCGGGACACCTGAGATTTTGAGTGAGATTGAGAGGTTCTATGGGCAGCTGTACACATCATCGTTGGAGCCACACGTAAGTGTGAGTAACGATCCAAGAGCCAGTCTTATCCGACACTATTCCGATGATATCCTGGACATCAGTCTGAGCGAGATTAGAATGGCTCTCCAGCACCTTAAAAACGGCAAGGCCCCAGGCGAGGATGAAATTACAGCGGAGCTTCTGAAAGCGGGTGGAAAACCGGTACTTGAAGTCCTTCAGAAGCTCTTTAATTCCGTCCTCCATGGTGGCACTACACCGGAGGCATCGAGCAGAAGTGCCGTGGTCTTATTCTTCAAGAAAGGTGACAACGCTTTCTTGAAGAACTACAGACCGATTTCCATTCTGAACCGCGTCTACGTGCTGTTTTCGAGAGTCATTACGAATCATACGAATACAGACTTGACGGCTTCAAGCCTCCCAAACAAGCCGGTTTCCGAAAAGGCTTTAGCACCATGGACCACATACATACCCTTCAGCAAAATGTACAGAAGTCCGAGGAGTACAATTTGCCACTATGTCTGGCGTAAGTGAACTATGAGAAAGCCTTTGCTTCCATCGAAATTTGGGCGGTACTGCAATCCCTTCAGCGATGTCAAGTTGACTGTCGGTATATTGAAGTGCTGAAGTGCTTGTACAGTAGGGCTACGATGGCTATTCGAGTACAGAACCAGAGTACGAAACCTATCCATTTGCAGAGAGGTGTAAGACAGGGTGACGTGATATCCCCGAAACTCTTCACCGCTGCATTGGAAGACGTTTTCAAGCTTCTGGACTGGAAAGGATACGGTATAAACATCAATGGCGAATACATCACTCACCTTCGATTTGCCGACCATATAGTCCTTATGGCAGAATCGCTGGAGGATCTAAGCACCATGCTGAATGACCTCAATAGTGTCTCCCAACGGATAGGTCTTAAGATGAACATGGACAAAACAAAGATTATGTTTAATGTCCATGTCACACCTATGCCGGTAGTTGTTTGGAGCACTAAGCTCGAAGTTGTTGACGAGTATGTTTACCTGGGACAAATAGTCTGAATAGGTAAGTCCAACTTCGACCGAGAGGTCAATCGACGGATTCAAGTCGGTTGGGCAGTGTTCGGGAAATTACGGCACATCTTCTCGTCAGGTATACCTCAAAACCTGAAAACAAGACTGTACAACCAGTGTGTGTTGCCAGTGATGACCTTATGGTACTGAGACGTGGTCCTTCACTGCTGGCCGGATGAGGAAGCTTAAGGTCGCTTAGCGAGCTATGGAGGGAGCTATGCTCGGAATTTCTCTGCGTGATAAACTTAGAAATGAGGATATCCGCAGTAGAACTTGAGTGACCGGCATAGCTCAACGGATTAGTAAGCTGAAGTGGAAATGGGCCGGCCATATAATTCGAGGAACCGACAACCGTTGGGAAAGAAAGGTTCTCGAGTGGCGGCCTCGTACCGGTGGACGAAGTGTAGAGCGTCCAACCACTAGATGGAGTGACGACCTGTTAAGATATGCAGGAAGTCGATGGATGCAGGTGGCTCAGGACCGTGCTTTGTGGCATTCCTTAGGGGAGGCCTATGTTCAGCAGTGGACTTGTGAAGGGTTGTAATGATGACTATAGTTATTATATATATTGACCGTGTAGTGGAGGTGTAAGAATACCTGCCATCCCATATTGTCCTGTGGGTGTCAAAAGAGGCGACAGAGAACAAACCAGGAGATGGGCAGCAGCGTCGTCCTAATAACAACTTTGTGGTATTGTGGGGGAGGCCTATGTTCTCTTATGATGAGCTATAATGTCACTATGGGCAGCTTAGATGTCTTGTTATACCCAGAATTTTTTCAAAAGCAAATAGAAGGCATTTCGTATCTTTCGTTCAAAGGTTCGTACTGTTATTTACTTAATTTATTTTTGTTGTCAGAATTGGGAGGGGAAGACAGAGACTGGCGGTGAAGGAGGCTCGCCTCCACCGCCGGCACACGCGCCACTTGATGCCGTGTGGCAACCTGTAGCGGGTACTAGGTAAGTTGCTTTTTCATACTAGAAACTAAACTAAACCTATGGAGTTGGATTATAAAATATAAAATATTTTTTTCCTCAACTTGGTACAGGACCCCGGGTCTAAAAAGAGAGCGCACAATCCACGACCATAGTTTTAGGGTTAGTAGGTCATAATAACGTACGTGAAAGTTCCGTTAACCTTTTGCACAACCCGCAATAATACTGGAAGACCACACCTGTTGTTGATCAGCTAGTTTCCCCGTTTAGCCGAGTAGCGTACCGTACTTTAGATTACATACTGTAGCAGTGTCTCTTTTGTTATATTTTCTGTGTTATTTGTTTGCTTTAATTAAAACAGCGCAATATTACTATGACAACAATAATGCTTACTGAAAGAACAATGATTTTGCCTTCAAAAACATATTTAATATTCTTTTACTCAAACAATACAATAAATTAAAAAAACAAACGAACCTCCAGCCACCTTTTTTTTTGTGAAATAAGGGTGACAATCGAGCACACAGCCCAACTAGGTAAGTGTATGCTGTGGCCCATAAACATCTACATCTATCCTCAATTAAGAATCAAAATGCAGATGCGTTGTCTGCCCTGAGGACTAAGATGGGATGCCTCGTTTCCAGTAAAAAAGGTCTCCGGTCCTCTACACTCACCATACGAAATACAAGCAGCATTAAGCTGCTATTTTACGCTGATATTCTGTGAGAGCGTCGTCCTTCCCCGTTCGAGCCGACCCATTCGTGCTACAACCATAATATAGTTGTAGCACGGCTCTACCACGTAAAAAAATCTGATAGTAAATTGCTACTGCAGTTCAAGAACACCTTTAGCTTTAGCATTTGTCCATGGAGGCATACAAAGAAGACTGATGAGAGATGCGTTGTCACCTCCGAGGACCAATATGTCTTAGTCTTGTGTGTGCACTACTGCTTGGTGGTAAAAACAGGGAAGAGGGTGGTAGCTACCGAGACAATACTTAGGCAGAAAAGGAGTTCTGCCATCTAGTATTCCGCGTAAAAGGCCACAAAACATTATTACAGAGTTCATGTATAAATGTAGCAAATTAATTCTATGAACGAAAAGCTTGATAAGTCTTTTAAGTTCGCTTTTAAGTCTTCTCGTTTTCGGAGGCTCCTCTTAGTGGCATTTTTTCTGTTTATAGATGTGTAGCATGCTTGAGTTGATAACCTATGGATTTTATACTAAAGTTTAAAGAATGATACTTCAATTTAGAAATAAATATCATATATACAAATTTGGTTAAATACAGAAAAGTAGCCGAACGTGTTTAAAATAAAATTTGAAATCTCTTTTTTACTTGACTGGTTTTGCGTAAATAAGCTTAAATTGTGTTATACCTACCAAAGAATTTATAGGCAACAGGATTACCTTCCAGCCGTTCGACAAAAACTGCAGGATGTTTTATTGCTTTGCGCATCGCCTGTGAGCATCGAGCTTTTAAAGTGTTATAAAAACAATTTTTATATCCTTAAAATGAAAATTTAAGTATTAACTTGTCTCAATATTTGTGATAATATTGTCTTTCTATAATATAGCAATCGATGTAAGTAAGTTACACATTTACCGCTTTTGAGCAATTAAACTTTCTTTAAAGTCTTCATAGAAATATTGATATTTTCTGTTCATAAAAAAAATCAATATCATATCAATATTATCTCATTTTTATCGAAATGTGGTGTATGGTCCACTTACTGTTTGGAAGCTTTTGGAAAAAATTTCATCATGAAGAATCCTTCTTTTTCCATGAATTTTGGGCAGATGCTGACCCCAGTTTGTTGATTGTTGTTTGTTTTATATATCTAATAAAACAAACAACAAACAACGTCGCGGTGTTTGTTACCATACTCCTCCGAAACGGCTGTACCGATTTGTATGAAATTTTGTATGCATATCGGGTAGGTCTGAGAATCGGTCAACAGCTATTTTTCAAACCCATAAATGATAAGGATGACCCACCCCTAAATATTCTTTTTTATTTTTTTGACAAAAAAATTTATTTTTATTTTATTATGATTTAACATTGAAAAATACATATACATACATATATATATATATATATATATATATATATATATATATATATATATATATATATATATATATATATAGAATTAGGGTGACAAGCAGAGACACGCGTTCAAGTGTTTGCTGTGACCCATAGACACTAATGACATCCCGGAGAGATTAGAATAGTTCTACAGCAACTTAAAAAAGCGCAAACTTCCGTGTGACAATGGAATCATAGCAGAACTAAACGGAAATTCGACGGAATTAATTAGTTTCTAAAATACTTTACTTTAAGTATTTTAGAAACTAATTAATTCCATCGATCCCGCCGCCGCTGACTGCTATGCCGGAGACTTGCAGCAAAAGAGTGCTAGGTTTATTCTTCAAGAGAGGCGATAAAACCCCATTGACAAACTACGGACCAATTTATATTCTCTTGAGTGTCGATACGAAACGATACGAAGGCAGATTCGACGACATCTCGCCTTCAGAAGAAGCAGGTTTCCGAAAAGGCTTTAGTACCATAGACCACATAATCATAACTTCCGGCAGGTTATATGGAAGACTGAAAAATATAGTCTGCCATTATCAGCATGCCGGTATCAGAAGGCCTTCGATTTAGTTAAAATTTGGCTGGTGCTACCTTCCTTTCAGGGGTGCCGAGTTGACAGTCGGATTATCCAGGTCTAGAAGTGCTTGTGTTGTTACGCTACGATGTCTATCCGAGTACTAAAATAGAACTCCAAACTGCAGATCGTGGAAGACATAGTGACATTATATCCCTGAAACTCTTGAAAACTACTTCCAATATAGCGGAAGTAGTTTTAAAGCGTGCAACTCTAGACGATACACATCCGATTTTGGCCGCGTCGTTAATGAAAGCCCTGTGCACAATAAATACGACACCTCCTTGGGACAGTTAGTCGCGCTCTCAGTGATAGAACAAATTGCCGGACACGATAATTACCATGCCCTGCCCTTCTGTTCTGGCCTCAGATAATGCTATAATATCTACGCACACCATACGAAACACAGCAGCATTAAGCTGCTATTTTACGCTGGTATTCTGTGAGAGCGTGGTCTTCTCCCGGTCAAGCTGACCCATTCGTGCTACAACTATACTATTAATATAGCTGCAGCATTGCTCTACCACGTAAAACCATGCCCAGAATTGGACTGTTGCGGGTCAATTTATTACTTGTTGTAATATTTGGTAAACTATTATTCAGCACAATCACTATTTGTTTATTAATTGGTAATACATTAAAATTATTTCTTTTTAAAATTTATAAAATAATCTTTATATTTCTGAAGCAAATCCATTTAAAGGAATTAAATAGGTATTACGACAAATTTGACCCTAGTGAGTTTATTAATTTATGATAACCACGTTTGTTAAAATAAGGTTCACACCTTGTAACTTTTGCAAACGTCTTATAGGTATTATTGTCTTAACATTTAGCCTATGACAATATGGGGATAAACACGATTACAACTACAATTCAAAGTACGTCAAGCTGACAAGAAGAGGTGATAAAGGATTAAAACATTACATTTTTTATAGAGTAGAAGTGTCTCCGGTTCTCTACACTCACCATGTGAAACACAGGAGTACTGTTTTGATGTTCCCCGCTGGTATTCTGTGAGAAAGGGGTTTCTAAGCCCGGTTGAACCGACCGGTGGCCCTACCACGTGATAACTTATATAAATACACTCGGAACATAACCCTTCTTTTAGATAAGTCGGATAAAATGTATAAAGGAGCAAAATACACTACAAGTAATTTGTCACTCCTTACCATAAAGTTATAAAAATCACTGACGAAACTCTTAAAGAATTGCGTATTGCGAAAGCTTCATGTTTTAAAAAATTTCTCGTTTAACTGCTAACTCCGTTAGTTTTTAAACTGAAAAACATTTTGCCGACGGAAACATTATGAAATGCTACACATAAAATATATTATTAAGATACTGAATGAATTTTATTTACTAACTGTTGCCCATCTCCTGCTTCAGTTTTCCATACACGCCTCTTACTACACCAATAGGACGGGTAGTAGATATACACTCACCGCCACTACACGGTTTGTAGGATTTAATCGTACCTAAATATCTTCTTCTCCATTATAAGCCCCTAAAATTCCACTGTTCAAGATACACACCCATAGTTGGGAGGATTTGCCTTAATTCCCACGCTTGGCACAATTTTTGATTGATGATCATAGATCAGTGCCTGACATCTCGCACTTTTGACGCTGTCGCTATTCTATTCTATTATCTATACAAATAAATAAAATTGAAGTGTCTGTTTGTCATATCGAAATATTAGATTTTTAATATATGCATATGAAACTATATACGGTAATTATAACAAAAACACGATTTTTAAAATTTTCGTCTGTCTGTCTTTCTGTCTGTCTGTTTGTTCCGGCTAATCTCCGAAACGGCTGGACCGATTTTGACCGGATTTTCACCGGCAGATAGCTGATGTTATAAGAAGTAACTTAGGCTACTTTTATTTTGGAAAAAGAATTAGGGTTCCGCGCAAAAAATTTAAATCCAAGAAATCCAATCGTAATAAATTACGCGCGGGCGAAGTCGCGGGGAACAGCTAGTAGTATATAAAAGTCCACTGCTGAACATAGGCTTGCAACATAGATTGCCACGCTTGGCAGGCGGGTTGGCAACCACAGTTTTTTATTTTTATTTAACTGTTATCAGGATACTGCTGCCCATCTTGTGTTTTAGTTTTCCTCTGTCGCCTCTTACGGCACCCACAGAACGTTATAGGGTAGTGAGTATTCTTACACCACCACTATACGTTTAAGTTAGCTCCGTCAATAGTGTGGGAATTTTATCATCTGATCATGTGATCTTTTTTAATACTTTCCACAGTCGCCTTTTACGACAATAACGAATGCGGTGATAGACTGATCTTTTAAGATGCGATCTTTTTGATACTTTCCACAGTCGCCT